GGCGTTCATTTCACTTGATAAATATCTCTTGAGCGCCAAGCATATGCGCGAGGCACTGGGGATATGGAGGTACATGACACTGGACAGCTCAGACCACAGCCCCTGATCTCTTGATTTGATGGTAGACAGCTGACAAATACATGAATACACTTGACCCCTGACCATTCACTCCATCTTGGGCCAGGACCAGGGGATGCTGTGATGAAAGGAGGGTCCATGGAACTGGACCAGGGTGGGCTGGACCAGTGTCTGTCCTAGCTCCAGCCCACATGGGGCTTTGGACTCAGCCGAGGCCTGGGTCAGACCTGCCCCCCCAAGTCCAACTTCCTCGGCCAGCGCCAAGGTGGGCTTCCCCATCCTCCTGGCCTGGACTCTGCCATCCCTCAGGCTCCTAGCCTCTCCCATGTGCTCTTCCTGCAGATTGAAGGGACCCAGAAACTGCTCAACAAGGACCTGGCGGAGCTCATCAACAAGATGCGACTGGCCCAGCAAAACGCTGTGACCTCCCTGAGCGAGGAGTGCAAACGGCAGATGCTCACAGCCTCCCACACGTTGGCCGTGGACGCCAAGAACCTGCTGGACGCCGTGGACCAGGCCAAGGTTCTGGCCAACCTGGCCCACCCGCTGGCAGAGTGAAGAGGGCTGCGCCACCTGCCCACATCTCTGTCCCCGCCTGCCATGTCCCCCCCTGCCCCAGCCCCTCCCTTGCCTTCGGTCTCTTGGGTCTTCTTAGGGGGCAGGCTGAGGGGAGCCCTTCTTCCCTGGCCACTTTGCACGACCCCTCTCCCCATCCTGCCCCCAGACTGTGCTGCTCAGGCTGAAGCTGGACAGAGGGGACCAGGGGTGACGAAGAGGGCCCAGAGGGAGCGTGGCTGCGGCCCGCCCGCCACTGCTGCCCAGCCTGATGGGGTCACGCTGGGGTCCCCAGCTGCCACAAGGGCTTTACGCATGGACATGGCAGGCCGATTTGGGAACCGAGCTGTTTCTTCACCTTCCTCTTCTGCCCACGGAGGTCTCCGGCCCCCCTTGCACAGAGGAGCCCCGAGGGGCTTTCTTTTTGGGAGATGGGTGGCTGGCGAGATGAGGGATGGACCTGGCTTTCTTTGTACAGTGTATATTGGAATTTATTTAATGTGAGTTTGGTCTGGACTGATAGCTGTTTGTCCCCCTGAGGGGGTACCTGGGACAGTCCAGGGACAAGCTACTGGGAGTCTGGGCCCAGGAGGCTGTGTTGTCCACATGCCAAGCAGGGAGGAGGGGAGAGATGAAGCCAAAATGGGACTTGGACACGATCCGCACTCCTCACCCCCTTTCCTCTTTCTTCCCTCCCTCGGCCCCTCCCTTCTCTTTTCTTACTCCCTCCCCCTCTTCTCTCCCCTTTTCTCATCCACTCCCTCCCTCCCTCTCCTGTGTTTGTGCAGTACACTCTTCTACCATCTTTCTATTTGACTTGTGGATGAATTAAAATTGTACCATTTGCTTTGTGGTTTGATTGTTCTGTTTGTTCGACCTTGGGGTGGGGTGGGGTGACACTGACCTCCAGCCGCAGCCCCGGAAGGGATCGATGGTGCTTACACTGGGCGAAGATCAAAGGCTGATGTCAGGGCTCAGCCGAGGGGCCACCTGGTGACATCAGGGGGTGGGGTTGGGCATGTGCTCCAGCCCTTTGACCCTGCACTTGACCCGAGGGCGACTTTCCAGTGGGGACCCAGCACGGCCCCTCCACACAGCAAGGCCAGAGGCACCCTCCAGCTGCCATTCAAACAACCAGGGCTGGGGGCGGATGCTGGGGCAGGGGGCTCCCGGGGGTGCTCAGGAGGGGTGCCACCTCTGACTGAGCAGCGGCGTAGGCCTTATTTGATCTATTTAGTCACTTGCAAGTTGGGTTGGGGATGGGATAATGAGAGAGAACAGCGCTGCCCCGGGAGGTCAAGTCCAGGAGAACCAGGAGGCAGGAGAAGGGAGGCTGGGGGTGGCGTCTGCAAAACAGAAGGAGCCAGAAACCAGAATGGCCTCTGAATGGGGGGGTCTCCGAGAGAAGAGATGAACCAAGACGGGGCCTGGTGTGGCGGGTTTCCCCCGGGGCTGTCAGGGAGAGCAAGTGGGGGTTTGGTAGAAGGGGACTCCAAGGCCAGAGAGAGACTAGAAACTCGCTGTGTTTGGCTGCCCGTGCAGGGTCCCCACACTGTCCGGAGAACCCGGTGCTGCATCTGTTAGCTGCCGCGGCTCTGCCCTCCCGGGCTGGACTCGGCTGGGGGGGGGCAGCTCCTTTCAGCTGGGGGTCACAGACTGCAGAGGCCGCACAGAGCCGTCAGGAGGGTCAGGAGGAGCACGGGCTTTGTGGGGGGAGGGAGGGCAGGCTGGGGAAGTAAGGGGCCCCAGCGCATCTGCGTTCACACAGCAATCTCAGGGTCCAGGGCCACCCAGCTTACCCCTCCTAGTCCCCCAGAACCAAAGTCCTGGGTGCCGCCGACCCCCTGTGGGGAGTGGTCTGAGAGCTTGAGTTGGGTCAAGAGTGGCTCAGATGTCTTTCTGGTTGTCCACATGCATCTCAGGACAGAGAGTGCCCCTGTGGACGGGGACTCTCAGCGCTGCCAAACGTCTCAGAGGGCCCGCTGGTGTGGAGCCAGTCTGCAGCGGGGCGGGGGGTGGGCACTAAAGATGAGGGCAGTCTGAGCGGCCACAAGGCCCTCCGGGCGGGTGGGGTGGCCCACTCCGTGCATCCGCCCACCTGTGGCCCTGCCACCCCCTTCCTCCCCTTCCGGAGGAGCCCCTACCCTTCTCCTGTTACACCTGCAGGCTAGGACTCTCAACTTCCACCCCCATCTGCTGCAAAGACAACCCAGCCTGCCTTCCAACCTCTTCCCTCTGCTCCCCACACTCAAGTCCACCTCTGCCTGGCTGTCTCCCCGACACTTCTGGCTGATTTCTGAATCTGAAATGTTGTGCCCGGCCCTCCCACCCCCTGAGGCACCTCTCCCCTCTCCCTGGACACCCCTCCTTTGAGGTCTGTGCCTCCTCACATGGCCCTGCCCCACTCCCTGGGTCCCCCTGCTTGGCCCAAGGGATGCAGAGGCATCTTCTATGGCTTCACATTGTCAGCACCACATCACTACCTTCTGCAGAGCAAGTTCCTTCTTGCCCTAGCTCCTCAGCATCCAAGCAAGGCTCTGTGCCCAGCCGATTCCCCGCACACACTACAATAATGTCAAGTGAATCATCCCAACGAGTCTTCAATGTCAGGACTCCACAGAGGACCTGTAGTCTGGAGTATACCCAAAGGCATACTCCAAAGGCAGCAGCAGTTAAAGATGGTCAGTCATGCCCTCTCAGGGCCAAAGCAGGCGACATGACATCAGATCGTTCCAGCCAGGAACGGAGGAAGGAAGAGTCCGACCGTCCCCAGGAAGCAAACAAGGATAAACAACCAGAGGAATATCCTGTCGATGACCATGGCCACGTACCTCCAGTCTTCCTTCACCTGCAGGGGGAGATGGGCGCATGGTGACCAAGGCCTTGGGAAAAGGGAAGGGTCCCGCCCGTGCACAGCCCCTAAGGATGGCCCTGGGGGCAGCGGTGACCCCACTGAGACCTTGGGAAGCTAAGATGGGGTGGGGGGAACTGTTGTCTCCGGACTCAAACAACTCTCTCCTAGTGATTCCCATCCTATCCCACCCATGGCACCGCTATCCACAGGCTCTCACCAGGTAAGAGAGGCAAGAGGGATACAGAAGGTTCTAGAACCACCCAGAGGCATGGACCCTCCCAGGAGGCCTGTGGTGATTTAAACACAACACCCCAGAAGTTACAAAATGGTGAAGACTTTGCTGCCTCCACATTGCCCCCCAGCCACTCACTGCAGGAGATGGGGAGGGGAGGGAGGGGAGGGCAGGTGTGGCCCGGGGAGGTGGGGTGGGTGCGTTACAGGGAGAGGGGTTGGGGGCTTTGTGGAGTTAGGGCTCACAGCCTAGGCAAGAGGGTCTGGATTCCTAGCTGCTCCAGGATTGGATAATAATTAATTTTTCTTATCTACTCAACAAGGCCAGCCAGTAACGGCCTCCGGCCTTTCATCCTCCCCTGGGTTGATAAGGATTCTGTGATCCTGGGCAGTGGCCTGCTCACCTACTGATGCCGGACAGGGCAGGGGTCGGGAGGGGAGTCCACCTGGTCCAGCCACGCTTCCCGGGGGGTTGTGAGTGAACAGTGAAGCTCACAAAACGCCCAGAGCCCTCAGCCAAGGACCAGGAGGAGGGGAGCATCAGGACCAAGGGGGAGGGTGATTTGTCTGGTCTCTCCCGATGAGACTCCCTCCATCCCCCTCTGCGCCTCCCCTCCCCTCGCCCATCACGAATGATGAGAAATGCCAGTGGGAGCACTCAGCATCTGAGACCCCTCCCTCTCTGTCCCGCCGTCTCCCAGTCCGGCTGAGCTGGGGCGTTCTCGAGCGCTATTCTGCGACTTGCCAACAAGAGCTGCCAGCTAGACATTCTCCGTCACGTCTTATTCCAGACTCCCAGGGACGTGACTAAGGGAGATGGGTCCTCAGGGAGGAGACTGGGTTGGCCCAAGCTAACACCCTGCGGGGAGATGTTTCTCTAAGAGGCCGGTAGAGTCACCCAGGGGAGGGGCGCCTCACCCAGCCCCCACTCACTGAAGAGTCAGCATCCTCCGACCGCAGGTGATCTGCAATATAGTGGACGCCCTCCAGTGCCTTCTGGATGCTAGGTGACAGCAGGAGCCCACCTTCCGGCAACTGGGCCTCCGCCTTGGGACCTGAGGCCCCTGGGTGCAGACCGCCATGGCTGTAGGGGATGCCCGTGGAGGGGGACGGATGACCCGCATACACCCATCGGTCTTCCTCCTCCTCCTCCCTCTCCTCTGCGTCCACATTGGTCTCCAGCCAGTGGTAGGAGGGGCAGAGCTTCAGATCCGGGGGGTCGCGGAGCTCCAAGGGTGGCAGGGGCCGGCTCATCAGAAGCCACCGGGGCACGCAGCCCAGGAAGGCCACCCGCACCCAGCGGGGCATGCTGTGGGTGCTGGGGGAGCGGTGGTGGACGTTGAGGACGAAGACGGTGATGACGATGGAGAGGGTGACGAAGATCATGGTGAAGAGCAGGTACTCGCCGATGAGCGGGATGACCAGCGAGGTGGACGGGATGATCTCGGTGATGAGCAGCAGGAAGACGGTGAGCGAGAGCAGCACGGAGATGCAGAGCGTGATCTTCTCGCCGCAGTCGGAGGGCAGGTAGAAGACGAGCACGGTGAGGCAGGAGATGAGCAGGCAGGGGATGATGAGGTTGATGGTGTAGAAGAGCGGCAGGCGGCGGATGACGAAGTAGTAGGTGACATCCGGGTAGACCTCTGCGCAGCAGTCGTACTTCTTGCTGTTGTAGGTGCCGGTGGCGTTGACGATGGCCCACTCGCCGCTCTCCCAGTAGTCCTTCAGGTCCACCATCTGCTCCATCTGCACCAGGTCGATCTTGGCCTTGTCGTACGACCAGGAGCCGAACTTCATCTTGCAGTTCTGCTGGTCGAAGGGGAAGAAGGTGACGTCGATGCTGCAGGAGCTCTTGTAGATGGCGGGCGGCACCCAGTGCACGGTGCCCGAGGAGAAGACATGGGCCTTGGTCATGTGGGTCACCACGAACTCCCCATCGGCACTGCGGAGAGGGGAGGAGAGGAGCTGGGGGGCCCTGCGCACCTCAGCCACCCACGCCAGGCCGCACCAGATAACCAGCCGCAGGGGGACCCCAATAACACAGCCAGACTTGGCCAAGTTGTTGGGATTTGTGCGAGGCTCCCCAGCACACAGCCGATTATAGCTACCTGGGTTGTCTTTTAAACGCCATCTTTTCTTTGTAACAAGAGTAGGAATTTTGAAGAATATAGGAAAGCACCAAGAATTTAAAAAAAACAAACACCCGCTATTGCCATTTGGAGGTTATATACATAGCATGCATATTTGATTGTCATCTAGACAACAGGGTAGCACTTGTACATATTTATGATCGTGGGGTACGTCTGTAGTTTGACGGCCTGTTTGCATTCATTTAATATTTCAGTGTGACTGTTTATGAGCACATTCTCTCGCCCCGGCAGATGGTGAGTAAGCGCCTCAGCTGGGGATATTTTCCACCTGAGATTTTGGTTCTCTGCTCACAAGAGACCTAACACCTTTGAAAGCTGGGGAAGGAAGACGCCATCCAGTTAGCAGGCATTTCGGAGCCAGCCGCGGTGACTAGGGCCAGGAGCTATGGGAGGACCGGATGGAAGACCCACGCCTGCTCTTAACTCCGAGGAAATGGGAAGCAGCTCCGAACACCTACAACGCAAGGGAGGCCGTCCGGCAAACTATGAGGACGGCCCAAGTGAGCCCCAGAAACTCTGGGGAAGGATGCCCTTCCAGCCAGGAGGGTCACCATGCAAGTTGCCATTTTAGCAAAGCCTCGACAGGTGACAGGATTTTGGTGAAGAGTGGACCAGCAGAGCGTCTGCAGAACAAAGAACAGAGGAGGGAAAGAACAGAACTCACAGGATGTGCGTGGGCTGAGGGAGCTGCTGGACCTGAGTCGGAGGTGGGGCGTGAGTAGGGGTGGTGGGAGATGAGGCCAGCAGCGTCGTGGGGCTAGGCATCTAAGGGCCCAGAAGGGCGCTGGGGACACTGAAATAGCGGTGACCTATCAGGCTGGGCTTCCTGGGAGCCTGAGTGCCTGATTACCCCGAGAGGTGGCACTGTGAGCTCTTAGCCCTAACCATCCCTTCCGCTCCAGTTCCCACGGTCAACTAAAGGTAGGAGAACCAGAAGAATACACAGGAAGAGAGGCTTCTTTTCCTTAGAGTAGTTCCAGGCTAGAGATAGAGGCAAGTTGGAAACCAGAACTTTGATAGAGTTACAAACACATCAGGGCAAACGTTTGAAAAAAAATTTTAAGGCATTTTTGTCATCACACACCATCACCACTAGATGGCAACCTGCGCCCCACTTTGAGAAGGAAAGATGGAACATGCCGGTCGTACCCCGAAGCTGTGTCTGGGTGGAGGAGAGGCCCTTCTTTAAGTGTCTGCAAGAATTTAGTTTGAATTTCGTGCTATCAAAATAATTTCCTGTTATAATCAAGTAACACTGGCTAGAGCCCCATTGGTAATCCTAAAACTCCAGGTCCCATGTGATACTAGGACTTTGCTCCTGTCCTCTGCCAGGTGCACAAGAAGCAGAAAAAAGAGGGATTCCAGGTGCAGATAGGGCGTGAGGGGCCCATGAGCCCAGTGGCAGTATTAGACCCTGCAGGTAATCCATGCTGGATGTGGGTTTACAGAGATGGCTCAGATGAAAGGGCTTTGGGTCTGACTGGGACCTGACAGTTGTAAAGGGATCACTGTCATCCTCCTCTGACCTTATCCGGAGACTTCAAACTCCAGAAGTGGGTCTGCTTCCCTTTATTTTATTGTTGAAAAATAGCTTTTCCAAATTTGGGTCAAATGAATTAGGAAATGCTGAGCTAAAGGGGGTTCTTGTCTGTACAACTTCTAACAACACTTAAAATGTTACTGTGTCCTGACAGCTTTCAAAGGACTCAGGGCTGGAGTGGGAGAAGGGGGTTCAACGACATACAATGTTACCCAAAATTATTTGACCATGGAACCAGTTTTCATGCCTGTTCATATCTCCAGGAACGAGTGCTCCTTAGAGCCCCACTGTAGAAAGCATTTGAAGACAAACAACATGCCAAACACCTTTTAATTTTACGTTCTTGACTTCTGAATGAATAATTACCTAATACCAGACATAAATGAAAGTATAGATCTTTATATCTTCGATCAAAAAAAGAAAAAAGAAAAAACCCTTGGTCCTCTGGTCTCTCTTTGGACTCCCCTGCCTTTTATAAGCTTCTAGTCATTATGTTCAAAGACTAGTCCTTTTTGGTCTTGAATACAAAGCAACTATAAGTGATGTTTCTAAAAATACCCATACCAAGTGAGTTTGCTAGGTTCAAAGGTGTTACCCCGAGATGCTACTTACCTGTTCCAATCACAGTGTGATCCTGCAAAACTCCAACCTTTAAGCACTGTTTTCAAAGCCTGCACCATCCACGTTTTTCAAATAATAGTGATGGCAAATCTGTGTCCACTAGCACAGCGCAGGCACTGGTATTTAGTAGGTGCTCAGTAAATTTTGGTGTGTGAGCGGGAGAACAAAATGAAAGAAAGGAATCAAAAGAAAAGACACGAGGGGGCGCACCTCCCAAGTCCAACTCAGCCCTGCCTCAGGTTACCAGCCCCCGGGCAAGGAACCTCCCCCCTCTCCCCACCGCCCAGGGGTCCCTGGGAGCCCCCAGGACCCCAGCCGCTTCCTACTTGTTGTAGAGGACAATGTCGGGGATCCAGATCATCTCCGAAGGGACCCGGAGGGACGTGATGTTGCCGAAATCGGCTGGGTTCCAGCGCAACTTGTAGTCGCTCCACTCCTGTGCGTGGGGAGGGGAGTCACGTCTCTGGCCCTGCTGGGGGAGGGGGCTCTCGGGGCAAACCTAGGGCAGCCTGGGGACGGCCAGAAGCCTGACTCCGGAGCACCCACGGGGTAAGAAGGGCTGCGATGCCCGGCAAGGGCCCTGAGCTGGGAATGCGGAGTCCACTCTAAGATAACCAACTTGCCCCAACTCTAAGCCCCAGGCGCACCTGGACGATGCCTCACCCTCGTCCAGCCTCTGCTCTGCCCCTTGTGGCTGGATGGCCCCGCCCAGCCGCCTCCCTCGTTTGTAGTAAGAACATTTTCAGCGCATCACGATGTTTTTTCACACCCTGTGGCTAGGAAGGCCCTCAAAAGCAAAGCCGGACAGGGAGTGCAGAGTAGGTAAAAGTATTTTCCCATCTAATAGATAGGGAAACTGAGGACCAGAGAGGTTAAAAACAAGCGCCAGTTCCACAGCTGAGAAAGGGGGAATCAACCAGCGACTTTCCAACTGTGCTCCACAGCGCCCCCTAGGAGCCCTGCTTCCACCAGCAGGTCCAAGGGAATCTTTCTCCCCGCAAACCAGGTTAGTAATATTCACTCTCTGAAGTTTCCCTCTCTGACGTTATGACAGTGGTGACTGCATGTGGATTTGCGTATTTATTTATTTAACGCCTCTGTAAGTTCCGTGGAGTCAAGGATCACGTCCGTTTCACTCCACATCCCTAGCACCCAGCCCCTGGTAAAGGCTCAAGAGATGTATCTGAGCAGTGAAGGGAACGGCTCCTCCCGCCAAGCTTGTGTGGTCCCATTTCAGGGAGGGTTTCCCGTGTCCCCTCTGGACTTAAAAAGAAAAACTACCCCCAACTGATGATGACTAGTGTTGACACACACAGCTGTCTTTTGCCCCACAGGAGCTTATAATAATTATATAAAATTATTATTATATAGTATATAATAATAATAATAA